AGACAGGGAGATGGGGGGCACAGGGGAGCACAGATATAGGGGGCACAGGGGAGCACAGAGACAGGGAGATAGGGGGCACAGAGACAGGGAGTTAGGAGGCAAGGAGGAGAACAGAGACAGGGAGATAGGGGGCAAGGAGGAAAACAGAGACAGTAAGATAGGGGGCAGAGGGTCAGTGAAACAGGGGAGCACAGAGACAGTGAGACAAGGGAGCACAGAGTCAGGGAGACTTGGGGAGCACAGGGACAGTGCTGCAAAAGGAATACATTATCAGCTGTAGTGCATGTACCCCACAATTGTGGGGAATTCAAAGTGAATTTTAAATGTTATCATGGTTCGTCACCAAAGTAAATTTTAAAAATGATCATGGTTCTTCAGCAAAGTTTATTTCAAATATTAAAGAGGCAACTGTCTGGGGACTTTGCCGAAATTGCAAAGACCCCCGACGGTGACCGCCTCTGGGGGTCCAATGGCCTGGAGGGCAGCTAAAGATGGGATTTATTTACCTGAACCTATTCCTCTCTGGAGCCACCATCTTTCTCAGTCTGCTTCCCTTCAGCACCAGGAGCCGACGTCACCGCTGTTCTCTAGTGCATGCACAAAAGTACAGCATTGAGGTTTTTGGGGGATCCATAGACAAAGCGAATTCCCTACAGCCATCACTGAAAGAAAGTAAATTCAAAATTTGAGGTAAAAATAGCCGAACTGGAAACATTCTTTAAAAAAGCAATGCTTCTAATGCGGTTACTTTGGCCTTAAATTTGAAATTCAACCAGTAAGTCAAAATAGTCAAACTGTAAGAATTTAATGCTGAATGGTAGTGAATTAGGGATAACCACACACGAGAAGGATTTCGGAATTGTTATAGACCACAAATTTGGCAGCAATATGCAATGTCAATCTGCAGTCTGCCAGTATGGTTTTGTCATGTATAAATAGGGGCAAAAATTCTCGGGATGAAAATATAATTTTTCCTCTTTATATATCGCTGGTAAGACAACACCTTCAATATTCTGTGCAATTTTGGGCACCTGTTCTAAAGAAGGATATCATGGCACTAGGAAAAATGCAGAGACAAGCTACAAAATTGATAAAAGGAATGGAGCATTTTAGTTACGAAGAAAGGTTAAAAAATTTGAATCTCTTAGTTTGGAAAAACGGCACCTCAGAGGGGATATGATAACATTATACAAATATATTCATGGCCAGTATTATTATTATTATTATTTTATTATTTATACAGCGCCAACAAATTCCGTAGCGCTGTACAATGGGTGGACTAACAGACACATAATTGAGATCAGACCACTGACGTACAGGAACAGAGGGGGTTGAGGGCCCTGCTCGATGAGCTTACATGCTAGAGGTACAAACCATTATCTGGAAATCTATTCATAAACAGGGCTAGACATAGGACACAAGGTCACACATTTAGACTGGAATGAAGGAGATTTCATCGAAGGCAAAAAAAAGTTTTTTTACAGTAAGAGCAATAAGGATATGGAATGACTGAAGAGGTGGTTTTATTAGAGTCCATACAGATGTTTAAACTGCAATTGGATAAATACTTGCAGAAACATAACATACAGGGATATAATTTCTAATTAGTGGGGTAATAGCTGCTTGATCCAAGGAGACTTCTGACTGCTATTTTGGGGTAAAATTTTTTGAATTTTTCCCTAGTTTATTGCAAAATTGTAAGCGCTTCAGATTAGGTTGTTTTGCATTCTTTTGGATCAACAGGAAAAACATGTGAGGAAGGCTGGACTTAAAATATTATTTTGTCTAAGGGCTTACATTCCTTTTTCATATATCTATTATTTCAGGTTGTTAATTTCAATGGATAAACAGAAAACTTAGATTTAGATTAATTCCCAAGTGTAGATGCATGTGTCTGTTAGTCTACCCATTGTACAGTGCTACAAAATTTGCTGGCGCTATATAAATATTATAATAACAAGAATAATTGTTCTATTTTTGGACCTACGGCAGTCTTGTAACTTCTTGAATAGCATCCTGCTGTATTCCTGGCAACCCAACACGCCATAACCTGCAGGGCATCTTGCGGATACCACAGATGCCTTTCTTTTAGCAAAAATTAGACACCAAGGCAGCAAGGACAACCGCATAGGCGGACACCAGGGAAACATCGCTGGAGGGCTCTGGCTGTGGAACATCCCCAGTCCGGAGGTCCTGACACCCGACACACATAACAAAGGTGAGCTGGGACGCAGATCGTAGAAGCCACCCCTACTCACCCCTGAAGACACAGAGGGATATTGGCAACATGGTACCAACCCATACTGTACCACGGGCCCTGAGTGGCCAGTTATTCCTATGGATTAACAGAAAACTGAGATTTAGATTTATTCCCAAGTGTAGATGCATGTGTCATTGTTCTATTTTTGGACCTATGCCAGTCTTTTAACTTCTTGAATAGATCAACTAGCTATCTGGGGTATCCATATACAAATAATTGAATCATTGCTGTGCCCTAATCGGCGAAAAATCAAGCGCATCCTGCTGTATCACTGGAAACTCGACACACTATAACCTGCATGGCATCTTGCGGATACCGCAGATGCTTTTCTTTCAGCCGGCGGGGTGCCAAAACGAAACGCCGAGGTAGCAAGGCCTACCGCATGGGTGGACAGCAGACCAGAGGTCCTGACACCCGACACACATAACGAAGGTGAGCTGGGACGCAGATCGCAGAAGCCACCCCTACTCACCCCGAAGATACACGTTACAAACCCCTACTGTACCACGGGCCCTGACTTCCCAAGAGGCCTCCCCTCAGCCATCGGATGACGGGGGCCCACATGATGGCCCCCTACCGAGTTCCCGACACCAAGAGCTCCAAAAGGGCACGCTGGACTGCACACCAGTCTCCAAAAGTGACATACATGTAATGCTGACAGGCCTACAACAGGCCAACAAGCCTTATTTAGATGTGAGACGCAGATCTGGCAGGACTAACTACCAAAATGCAAGTGGTGACCACACACCAAGCAACGGAGGAAGAGGTAAACAACCTGAGACAGGACCTCTACACATTGAGGGAAAGTGTACGGCTATTACAATCCACTCAGGCAACTATGGCCAGACAAGTAAACATACTTGATGACAGGGGCAGACGCAAGAACATAGAGATAAGAGAGGTCGGGGGAGACAATTCCGCTGGAAGAACTACCCCATTTTATCAGACGCCTAGCGGCGTTAGTGCTGCCACTAAGACAAGCCAAAACCTTCTCATTTGATGAAGTTTACAGGATATCTAAATCCCCACATGCCCCTAACACAACTCCACGGGACCTTATACTGTGGTGCCAATCGATGACAGACAAACTGGGACTGTATGCTGCATTAAAGGGAAAAATACTCTTTGAATTTTAAATGTGCCAACTCTCATTTTTTAAGGACTTAAGCAGGGCTACGCTCTCTTGTGGCGCAAAAATATGCAACCACAAACCAAATCACTACAAGCAGCAGGAATCGCTTACAGATGGGCAACACCTGGGACACTGTGGGTGACAAAGGAGGGACAACACTACAGGGCCACCAACTCAAAAGATGGCCCAGCATTGTTGGCAGCGTTGGGACTCCTCCAACATCATGAGGACTCTATGCCACTGCCTAATCCTCAACCTTTGGCTACAGCTAGCTCCAGAGCCAGCAAGAAGAAAGGGGCCACAACATGAACCAACTCCCGGTGGCCACAGCTGTCCTGCTGGTTGAACACAACGATGTCTTGGGATGCTTTATCCACTACCTTGGTTCAAACCTGTTTCAGTTATATATATCATTTAGTTACTTCAGTTGATTTTCATTTTTTATTTTGTATTATTTTTGTTTTGCTTGTAGAATATGTACGCTGCATATCACAGGCTCCAAACTCAGCATACGGGTGCCAGGCACCTCTACAACTAGCTCTAATGCTCCAGTGACATAACCACCACCCCACGGTTACCGGGTACTACTTACATGGGAGCACACACCCCCTACCTTGCACTAAACAAATAGAAAGGGATACCATTCCTAAGATGGCTCAACTAGGCCAAAAAAAAATTATGAATTAATGCTCTTTAATCACACAATCATAAATAATTTGCTGGCATGCCTTGGTCATGCTCAGTTGGCTACCACTCTCTTACACTAGGAAGTATGTTGGCTCCTGATAGATAGATTTTTATATGATGCACATTACATTGTAACCAAGCTCCTCCCGTCCATTTCCCAATTGTCTCTCCATATCTGCCCTTTCCACACAACTCCATAACACTTATCCAACCTTCCTTGTCATATCTAATCAGCCACCGCTTTCACAACATTTCTCAAACTCCTGTAACCAACTTACAATGCCTTCATTGACCCTACATATTTTTATCCCGTGCCATCTCCTCTCAACCCAAAGAGCATAGTCAGGGATCCAAATATAGTGATTGGGGAAGCACAGCCATTAATTTGCATATGTGAACTGCTAGCTGACTGTAAACATATAGTAAGTAAGCATGTACTATGTGTGCAAACAGCTCTTAGAGACATGCTATACTATTGCGGTTTTTATTTTCTATGCATATTGTTTTGACTGTCCTCAAAAAGAGAACTAGCCTATACTACACTATTATTAATGATTTGTCTTGTGGCACTTAATCCTAAGGAAACATTTCAAAGGAGCAGCAGCTTTGAGGGTTGTATTCTTTTATATTTGTCAAATGGTGTAAAATCAAGTCACTCATTTCTATTTACTATATGCTACATTTCTAGAGCTGACCCTCTAGATTGGTCTTTCTGGGTCTGAGTACACAATGATGATGCCCCCAACTGACCCACCAAAACCACAATCTCCTAAAGCCTCACCCACTCAATGAAACTTCAACTGCCATTACAACAACAAAAAAAGAAAAGAAAACATCTCTATGGTACTTCTTACTTAAGCTGGTGTCCTTTTTGCTGTCTCCCCCATACATGTCCTCACTCTCTGAGTCCACCAATTGGTATCCCCTTTTACTGACCCACAGTTCATATACACTGAACAAAATTATAAACGCAACACTTTTGTTTTTGACCACCATTTTTTCATGAGCTGAACTCAAAGATCTAAGACTTTTTCTATGTACACTAAAGGCCTATTTCTATTTTCAAATATCTATCTAAATCTGTGTTAGTGAGCATGTCTCCTTTGCCGAGATAATCCATCCACCTCACAGGTGTGGCTTATCAAGATGCTGATCAGACAGCATGATTTTTGCCAAGGTGTGCCTTAGACTGCCCACAATAAAAAGCCACTCTAAAATTTGCTATCACACAGCACAATGCCACAGATGTCGCAAGTTTTGAGGGAGTGTGCAGTTGGCATGCTGACTGCAGCAATGTCCCCCAGAGCTGTTGCCTGTGAATTGAATGTCAATTTCTCTACCAAGCCGTCTCCAAATGCATTTCAGAGAATTTGGCAGTACATCCAACCGGCCTCACAACTGCAGGCCATGTGTAACCACACCAGCCCAAGACCTCCACATCCAGCATCTTCACCTCCAAGATTGTCTGAGACCAGCCACCCGGACAGCTGCTGCAACAATCGGTTTGCATAACCAAAGAATGTCTGCACAAACTGTCAGAAACCATCTCAAGGAAGCTCATATACATGCTCGTCGTACTCATCGGGGTCTCGACCTGACTGCAGTTTGTCATCGTTACCAACTTGAGTGGGCAAACGCTCACATTCGATGGTGTCTGGCACTTTGGAGAGGTGTTCTCTTCACTGATAAATCCCGGTTTTCACTGTGCAGGGCAGATGGCAGACAGTGTGTATGGCATCATGTGGGTGAGCGGTTTGCTGATGTCAATATTGTGGATCGAATGGCCCATAGTGACGGTGGGGTTATGGACAACGAACATAGGTGCATTTTATACCGTGACAAGATCTCATGAGAAATGGGGGCAAAAACAAAAGTGTCGTGTTTATAATTTTGTTCAGTGTATATATGTAGAGAGCAGAGAGAGAGTAGGATCCCTAATTTATCTACAAAATGCCATACTCACCTATAACCCACTCCACAATTCATCTCATAATATAACTAATAATCTCTCCCAACTATAACCCCACCCCATTCAAACTCCTCAATTCATATCAGACAGTCTTATTCCCATTAAATTATCTCCACAGCCAAATCCCTCCCCACAGTACATCTTCCCTAGCTACATCTCTCAAAGATTTCATTGCATCCCCCAGTACATCTCACCACAGTGCACTCACCACGTCCTCAAGGTATACCTTCCACAATAATGTGCCCAAGGGACATCTTCCCAGTTACACATACTCTTGCATACATACAGATTTACACACAAACATTCATACATAAAAACAGGCATACTCATACACACAATGTTCTAAATACATTCTCTTTGATTCATGAAACTCTGTGTGATGGGAGAGTCTAGACATCAAACCCTCACCCACACACCATATAGTACCGAGAACTGGTATGTGCAGCCAGAACATGTGGATAGAATCGCACTGAACCATAAATAGTTTATGATTTATGAACAGAAGGCAGTTTTGATGTATGAGAAACATGGTGGCCACTGCTAGTCCTCTTCACCATCTTCCTCAAGTGCTACCTTTAGTCAGTGGACCCACTCTTATCCCCATTCAGAAGTATCTCCATACTGCCAAAAATTAAGGATTGCTAGTTTGGGGTCAATTTTAATATTTCTATGTAACACTATCTACATAATGCACTTATCCAGAGCACTTTACCTAGATTAGTAATAATAAATCATCAAAGGGTAATTTGAAAGCACAGCCACAAGCTACTGGACCATTATAAAAATCACCAAAACCCATAAATCTATAAGTTGTAGTCAAACAATATGAAACAATATGATCATATTGCACACAGATTATACAATTCATGGTATACAAAAAACAGGCTATTGTACACATGTTACAGGATACACAAAGCCTTAGAATCTGGTGGAATCAAAGAGGATGCAATTACAACCAAAGAAAAGGAAGATCAGAGTGATTAATACACTTGTGATAATGGGAGGAAAGAGTAAAATGATTTGGGTTTAGCACCCAACCCCTTCAGATGTGGCCTTAGCGGTGAAATACTGTAGCTTCCATGTTTATACCCCATATTAATCTTATATTTGGAGCCTCCGATATTAGGGTACATATATGTAGGAATAGGACACTGACTAAGTGAACAAATCCCATACACTGTACATTTTACTTATTTTGTATTGATGTAAGTGTCAAAGACGAACATAAAGAAAACATTCCACAAGTATAATGGTAGATGGTATACCACAAGACATAAATGAATGGTAAGCCGCAGAACAGTCCTTATGGTTACCAGAATCAGTGCTTTAAAAGCAAATTATCTGAGGAGGTAAAAGAGGAATGGCCTGGGGAGGAGGAGAAAGAGGTGAGTAGGAAAATAGTAAACATATGTAAGAACTGTGTAATAATTTGGTCTAGCCCGAGGCAGCACAATACCCAAATACATAATTGCCGGTTTCAATACCTTGTTTAGTTGTTAACAGTTATTGATGGATTTTCCTTGATGTTTTGCTTAACTTTTAGTGATGTGGGAAAATGATATGGTACTTATATAGTGAACAGGCAGAAATATTGATATAAGTGACTATGATATGGATCAATAGTCAAATCAGGAATACAGTGGAGATATAATTTGAGCAGAAAAAATGACAGAGTTGGGTATAAATTGGAGTGGGCTATGTGTGTACTGAATACACAAAATAGTTGCAAACAAAAATGTACATAGAGGATAAGTGAACTGGATCCTAAGCACGTAGATGAAAACAAAATAAAATCCCAATTGAATGAGATAAAATAAAATGATGAGATAGATGTGTATCAATGGATATTCATTATTGATATGCTTGTATCAGCTTAATACAGATCAATCACCTTCTATATTGTAAATAGAAGATAAATCTGATATAGCTGAAAAATGTTAATATAGTATCGGTCTAATCCCTTCCTGTATGGAAAAAAACGATACATGAATTAGGAAAGTTTACAATGTAGATCTCAATGTGGACACGAAGTAAACCCCGTGCAGCACGATATGACAGAGACAGAAATATTATTTTGGAGCCTGTTGAACAGGTAAGGGCTTAGTTTTACACCCCTAGTAATAGCAGCACACTTTCTATGACAATATTAAAAAGCATGTAAATACAAATATATTTTTAGGTAGTATGTAGTGGTATATCCCACTATCTCCCACTAGAGGGAATAGCAAAGCCATCTTCATGCCTTTTATATTTGTCAACTAACATATTTATAAAAAAAAAAAAAAGATGTTATTTATTCTTCTTAACTTTGCAATCTAGGTAAATTTAGGCAAAACACATTAAAGTGGAAAAAGTTGAAACATATTTTCTTAGACGAATAGTGAATTACTTGTGTTTTCTCTATAGTATTATATGATGTTAATCTTGCTTTTTTGTTGGTGAAATTAATAAAACAAAAAAAGAGATTACATTTCTAGGTGGTGGTTGTGTCTTAGCAGTGTGCCAGCTATATGTAAAGAAAAAAAATAGATATGCAGATGAAAACCATAAGTAGGATTAGTTTCTATAATAGTCAGAGTAACAGCAGAAAATGCATATTGGATGGCAGTAATGATTTTAAGCAACCATTAAATATGCATTCTCATTAACAGTCCATACTTTAAAAGGTAAAGACACTACAGGCATCAAAAGAACTTTAGTTTAATGAAGCAGGTTTAGTGTATAGAGCATGCTCCTGCAGTCTCACTGCTCAGTTCTCTGCCATCCATGAATTAAATCATTTTTGTTTCTGTTTTTGCAGCCCTAGCCACACCTGCCCTGGCTGTGACTCATACTGCCTGCATGAAAAAAAAAAATGGTTTAATTTTCAATCAGATGTTCACTTGCTTTAGAATTTTTTCTAAAAAGCAATTCTTTTCTCGAAGGCTATTAACAGAGCAGTAGACAAGAAATTCTAAATTATACAGACTTTACAATAAAGGAATTTGAAACATTAGCTCTCTTTACAGGAAGTGTTTAGGAAGGCTTTGGAGGTCACATGCAGGGAGGTTTCTAGAATGTATACACAAAGTGATTTAACTGCTAAGTGGCACATAATTGAACAGTAAGAGTGTAGGGGCATCTATATACCAAAACTGTTTCATTAAGCTAAAGTTGTTTTGCTGCCTATAGCATCCCTTTAATTGATGCTTATGATCACTCAATCAACAGAAGAGCATTAATTTCCCGCCCATCTGCGACTGACAACTGACTGTCCCATGTAAAAAGTTAAGTAAGGAGGTTGCATCCCTCGGTGCTTTAATTATGAATGAAATGGCTGCATGCATTTAATAGAAGCAATATTGGTTATTAAATGCAATAAAGTATTAATCAATATATAGACAGCACTTATTAGCCCATGTACTTTGATGGAGATATAGGCGTACAGTACTGTAACATCCACAAGTTTCTTAAGAAACAAGGCAACTTCTATCTAACAGCTTCTTGCAATAAAGGTATGAATGCTTAAGTACATGTTCAAGAAGGTTTATTAATTACATTTATTGTTTAAACAATGCTAAACATTTCAATTACTGCATTACTAGCCAGGGCTAAAAGTTGCTTCCTAATGCATGTATCTTCCTACTCTCTGGGGAAAACCAGGGTAGCAGTATGCCCGGTAGCACTCCTTCCAAATGACCTCTTGGATTAGTTCTGGTGACTGCTGGAAAGATCACTTATTCTCTATAGAACTTTAAACTGCTAGTACCCTGCTCTGTTTAATGTCGTTCTTGATGGCCTCAGGCAGAAGTGAGTCAGCTATTGTAAATAATCTTATTCTTTCAAACAGCACTGAGTATCCTCACAGACAGTGGGGGTTTGAGTTGCCACCTGTTCCAGTTTCTACAGGATAGTGCTCATACAGAGAGTTATGTCCCACGACGCATACAAATCTCTATATCTCTGATTTGTGATGGCATCCTGTATTAGATGGACAGCCCACTTTATGTCCACAATTTGTGGTGGCACCCTGCAGTAGGGCAGGTCAGGAGATCAAACATGCTCTCCCAACTTCCCAACTGACTCCTGCTTTATATATACAATGGAGTGGGCTGATAGTTTGGAACTCAATTCGCTTCTGTTGTGTCCCAGGATCCCCCTTCATGGGCCCCACAGCCCACACATCATTTTAATTTATTATTATGAAATTATTGTTTTTGCCCAATCTTAAAGAATTTGATTGGAGATATCTCAGATATATGTGTGGACTAATGCAAAATAGTCGGACCTTAGTTGAGATTAGTATATCTACCTTTGCTTAGGAACCTAGCTCAGTATTTACAATTTTGATTTGCAGCAGCCAGCCCTGTTTTAAGACCAGTGTACATTTTTAGTATTTTGGACATTTGGCACTTGTCCTGCAGCTAATTTAGTCTTGTTTAAACTTGTATTTATTTTGATAACTCTTCTAGCCACTTATGAATCAGACACCAAGAGCACATAAACTGTTATCTGCCCATGCTTCAAGAGCTGCTTTATCTGAACTTTTTCTAGTCCTGTTGACAGGTCCTCTCTAGCACGTGTTTTGTGCCTCTTGTGAAGTATTAAATGTTACCAATGTGTCACTCACTAGCTGATTCTTATTACTCCTGCATGGCCTCCTTCACCCAGTGTAACACTGTCTGGTGATGATGGAAGACCTCCGCCTCACTAAAAATACCAGAAGAGCAATACAATTTGGGGTCAGTTATATATATATATATTTTTTTTAGCCGTTAAGGTGTCAGATACCTCCTGGTGTAGCATATGGAGTTCTAAAAGTTTTCTGTCAGCAAGACTCATGTATAAAGGAAGTTTTGAAAAAAAGAGATCCTATTTTTTTATAGAATAAAAAAAAAAATAGCACAGGACATGTAGATAGTTCCATTTAATCATGCATACAGGAAAAAATAGAGAAATGTGACTTTTAGCACTTTCCATCTAATTATGTTGTAAGTTATATAGTTATGTAAGCTTATATAGTTTTTATGCTGTTGCTAATCAAACACTGTGTATGAAATATCCCAAGTTTACATACAAAGTTAATGATAATACATATACAGAGTAGAGTAGAGAGTAATTTGTTACAAAATGTTTCTTAAAGGAATACCAATGAAACATGCATTCAAAGAGTCCACTAATCGCTGTGTCTCCCAGTAATATCTCTCATATCTTGTATGCAATAATAATTATTCATTTTCACTCATAAAATCCAGCACTGGTCTAAACAGTATAAAACATATATTTTTTAAAAAAATTAAGGAGCATAGAGCCATATTGTTTTAGTATATACAGATTCCCAGTATAAATATATATGTACAAATTGTCACTCACAATAGTTGGAGCCATTATATTCAGAATTGTGTATGGAAAATGAAGATGTTTCAGCAAAGCAGCCTTCCCTTAATTATCTTGAATTGTATGTGGTCTCTTTAAAGGGACACTCTAACCATTGTATGCACTTAATCTCATTGAAGTTGTTATAGTGCATAGATTCCACTGGTGCAGTCCCTCCATTCAGTGGTTAACCTATTTTAATTGGTTTAATGCTAAACAAAGGTCGATAGCAGGCTGACAACTCTCTACTGCTTGGACTACTAAATGGACACTATAGGCACCCAGACAACTTCAGCTCATTGGAGTGTTCTGGGTGCATAGTCCCAGGTCCCTTAAACCTGCAAAGGTAATTATTTCAGATTTAATACAAGTGATAACTCTGGATTAAATATTCCTACCAATCTTCAGAGCTAGGCTACAACCTGACCAATCGTTATTAATCAATGTTAAAAAGAGGGATTAGATGTGAAGCTTCCTGCTGATCTTCCATATCACATAACCCGTAAACAGTCAAGGTTATTCTCTAAATTCAGATTTATTTATTTGTTTGGTGCTAATTAAGTCTTCAATTTAATATTTTTGGATAGGCTTTTCAAATGATTTAATATTTTAAGATAAACTTTTAAAATTATGTACTGTTTTGAAAAATATTTTAATGTTACAATATAGTTATATATTCTATAGTGTTTTAATATTTAACATTTTTGAAAAAAATCATTTTAAAAGTTTATCCAAAAAGTATTAAATTGAGGCCTTAATTTGCTAATATGTTAATAGAGTGCATTTGATAAAAAAGATCAGTGAATAGAAGATCAATAAAGTTAATTCTGATTGTATTTGTAAATTATTTTGTAAAAATTATTAGCAAATTCTATTACACCTTGTGAGAAAATAAAATAAATTGTGTCAAAAATGACAGAACTAAAGTTGCAACTTGTTTTATTTTGTCTACATTAGATCAAGGGCTACAATACATCAACCATTGCTACATTTAAAGAGATAATGTATTTCAGAATGATAACTACTTTAAGTCAAGTTAAACTATATACTAAATAACAGGTCTTACAGAGAATTGTCAGAAATTCAAAGTGAATTTCAAATTTAAGGCCAAATAGCCTAAATGAAAAAAGTCACCTATGCTTCCAGTTTAGCTATTTTGGCCTTAAAAGGTCAATTTATCCCTTTGGATTAGGGCTTCTTTTTTTGTGTAATATGGGCACTGTGGAAAAGGTTCCCAATCCTCCGCTTTTCGGTAAAATCATTTTTGTCACCTGAAATCCAAGGCCGGATGAAGCTCCTGGCACTAATCTTCCACACCC